AAAAAAAAAAAAAAAAAAAAAAAAAAAAAAAATGAGAGACTGGCGTAAAACGAGAATTAGATGCCACTATTGGATGCCACTGTCGGCTAGTTGCCTAGCAACCAGGGCGCTGATTGGCTGAACCGGCTGCATCAGAACCAAAACCACCAAGCCCCTTAGTAGTTCGTACTTTTAGTTTAGACGGGGATTGTGTGCGTTGGTGGCTTCGAATATGATACTGTGGTCGGGGACACATTTTCTTATATCGTCTAAAGATTTTACCAGAACTATATTCGGGAGCATCGTAGGGTCTTCGTTGTTACCATTTGTTGAACTGTTGTGCGGAAATATTAAGTTCGGCCAGCTTGTTATTAGACTATTTTTTACCTTATTTCTTTTTGGCAATGATTTAAATCCTTTTCTCTTTTGGTGTGGATCTCTGCGTTAAAATCATAAGACCAATTTACTCTATCTTCATTTTTGTATAATTACTGTTTATTTCTTTTGTTTGTTTGTCTCTAAAAAGCTAAAAAGTGCAAGTAGAAAAATTTTTATTTTTCCTCTATCTCTTTTACTGTGTGCATTTACGCTAAATTCCATTATGACCACTTGTTTCTCTTTAAGCAAATAATTTTGAAGATGCGTCAGTTGCAAATAGTGTTACTATGTATATGAAAAGGAAAATTATTCTCTTCAACTGTTCTGTTAACTGTCCTCTAAAGTGGAAAAAATTCAAATTTTTGCTTCTACAGTCGTTGTGGCGAACTTTCCAGTCATTTGAGTTGTTTTTCGTCCTTCGCTAACCTTTATACCTATTCCTTCACCATTGGGAAATCGATTTCAAAAAGTTAAGATAAAAAAAGATAAAATAAATTTTTTTCCTTATGACATCCAATCGAGCGAAGAATTACTGGTTGCGTGGATCAATCAGGCTATAAGACACTGATACATTTACTTCTTTTTTCGTACTGTCTTATATTCAGCGTTGTTAGGGAAATTTTCAACAGCAAGATGTAAAAGAACCATCTATTTATTGATAACTTAATGCATTGTTTAAAAAAAAATTTCACTAGCAAGATGGTGGATTATTAATTGTCTTGAGCTTAAAACTTGACTAGATTGTTGCACTGAAAATGCTACAGCCGCATGGTGTAATCTGGTTAATTGGTTTTTATACATTGGCGTTTCACTCATTTATCCTGTGTTTGCTCCTCCGTTGTTGTTGTCGTCTTTTCTGTTATTGTTACTTGCACTGTGGCACTTTTGTCGTTTAGAGGTGTACACGCAACGCGTACAGGCAGTGGGCGTGGTTTATGTGTCCAAACATTTTTTTGTTTCTGCAAACCGTTTTGTTGAGGTGGATGAACAGTATGTTTTATACATCTTTTTCATTATCATTCTAAAAAAGCATGCGATTTTAGAGTACAAAATTTTCTGGAAAGTGCTGAGTGGAGTTCGAGAATGTCAAAAATTTGGAAGTGGAAAAAGAAGTAAAAATTTTGCAATTTAAGAGTTCAGTCGTGTTTCTTAAAAGCTTTGGAATAGCAGAAGTTATAGTTTTGAAAATGATTTAGCATTTGGGGTAAGAAATCCAAATGTACAGAAAACTATAACTTGATCGTTAAATTACTGCTTCTGGAGGGCGTACCTTCACGAATGCGGAGACAATAAGCGAAGTGTTGTGATTTGCATGTAAGTGAAGAGCTTATTATGCATTTGAAAAGTGCACTGGTGAAATTGCAGGAATAAAGATAAGACACTGAAAAAGTTATGGGAAAAAATTGTTGCGAAGCAGTATAGACAAGGAGTGAAAAAAACACAAATTTTTAATCACGGAAAATTCTGAGGGAAAAAATTGCTGATCGTGAAGGATGTCCATGCATAAAAGCAGCAAATTCTATGGGAAGGAGATAAAGAGAATATAAATTGTAAAAATTCAAGTGTACCTCCTGTATGAAGTATGCTTGTACTAGGAAACCTGTGTTGGAATGATGAAAACCTCATAGCTGCTGAAAGGCAAAGGATGGGGCTTATGAGGAATTTCTCCTGTCGTGCCTTAACAAATTCATAATAATTATTAGGCGGCAAAGCCTTTGGTGACTTCTGGTAGCGTACGCCGCAAATACGCTCCGGATGGAAGATGGTTGGCAAAAGCACTAAGTGACCCTCATCACAGTTACTTTGCCTGCAATTTTTTATTTTACAATTTTCTTCTCATTTCTAACTTTCTTTCTTATTAGTTTTTAATGTAATTGTTCCATCCGCGCTTACTAGTGGTTCCTTAACTGGCGTTACGTTTTTTAATAAGATTGACCCCTTTAAGATTACCTTTTTTTGTACTTATTTTAACCCAAAGGATATCTTCATAATTAAAAAATAGTTGCGCAGGAAAATGAGAAAATTAAGAACCGACAAGGAAGGGAAGGAATAAGAATCCAAAGAAAAACGAAAAAGCCAAAAACAAAGAAAAAAACGAAAAAATTCAATTTAGAGATTGAAGGAAGAGGATGAAAAATGAAAAGGAGCATAAGCATTGAAAAGGAAAAGAGTAGGGAGATAGTACAGACGTTTTGATCGAAAGCTCTGCTCAAGGCTTCTGCTGTTGGTCTCTAACCTGATGAGGTCCTCTCAAAGCTTTCATTTCTTATACTTTTCTTTACCTAACAGCTTGCTTCAGGGCAAATATTTTTCAAGCTTTTAAACTCAGTATCCCTCCTCAGGGTTTCAATTAAAAAAGGACGAATGGTACTGGCGGTGGGGTAATGTATAAATTCATTTTCTCCCTTCTCCATCCTCTTAAGGATGTTTTGGAAAAGGCTGCAGCGTCAGGCTGTGAAAATCCAAAGAAGTTTGATATGCGAACAGCTTTTTTAAAGGGAAGTTGCGAATGGCATCAATTCAATTGTCTTCTCGAAAAACGCGTTTTCACAAGTAAGTGGCGTCGCAAGCTTTTGATATCACCACTGTAATTCGTGTTACTTCTGTTTTTCCTTAATGAATTTTGTCATTGTTCTACTTTCATACCATTTCTAGATGTTTTTGAAAGAAGCTATACTGCTAGGCAAGAGGAGAGGCAAAGGGCCAGTTTGAAGGTAACAGGCAATAGCTTTAAGTCAAATCTGTCCACCCCAAAGCAGGGAAGAAAAAGACTCCTCTCTCTGTCAAAAGGAAAAAAAACTTCGAAGGAAATTTCAGGGGTGAGAAGTGACGCGAAACAAAATAAAAAGAATACACAAGTAACTAGGCCGTATCATGCAACTGATTTGAGGATTTTTATTTAGGCCTTTGCCAAAACTTAACCAAACAAAAAGCAGAGGCATTCGATGCTTCGTGTTACAGTATGCTTCTTTCCAGATAGCTCTTCTTTTTTTTTAATACGCCTCAGCAACTCTGTATCTTATTGCAACATAATTTCTTTCTGTTTGCTAGACAAAATCTCAGGATTTCTTGGGTGCGGTTTAATCTCCAAAAATTGCATCATTTTTATATTCCTTTTAATAGGCTGCAAAATTTGACTACAGTGACCCAAAGGTGTCGGTGTAATCACTCAGTTATGCTATTTTGATAATAACTTCAGAGCCTTACTTTGAACCGCCCGCAACTGAGAATAAAATGGGTTTTGAAAGACTCTGTGCAGAAAGAGCCAGGAAATCTATAAGCAATTCCTGTTGCTTAAAAAGGACTACAGACGTACCCGTTAGTCGTACGGCGCCGCCTATTTTTGGAAGAGCTCTCGGGTAAAAAAGTGTTAGGCAACTTCGGCATCAGCGTATAGTAAAGCGTGATGATCCATAAAAAATTCTCTGGAATATTCTCATAAGTTCAAACAGAGTCAAAAGGTACCTGATGCTCCTTTGGTGAAAAAAAAATTTCTCTTTACACCTACTGCTTGTTTACTATAAACAACAGTTTTTCAGTCACCGAAGCAAAAAAAAAAGATCAAAAAATTTATCTGACAAGCATATATGTGAGATAAATTAGAGATCAGTGGTAGGGAGTCTTATGCGGGGAGCTGTCCAACAATATTGGCTCAGCTCGTCTCCGTTAAGCCGTTAGCCATATATAATGAGTAGCAGACGCTTTCTTATCGACGACAAATAGCGACTTAGGAAGTAGAGAAGAAACCAACGACTAACTAAAAAAAAAAAGTAGGAACTGAGAAATGGGATACATTTTTCAGAGTTGTATATTTCTAGTATTTTACACTCCTCAGTTGACTATCATTTTTTCACGAAAAAAAGTTTCATAGTTAAAATACAGATACGGCATAGACAACTACTTTTTTTTATTGGCACCACAAAAAAGTGATTGGCAGAGCAATATTAATTCAAAAGAAAAAAAATAAAGAAAAAGAATTAAGTGGTAAAAAAAATTCCACATGCCTCGTGGACTGTTGCCAAGTGTTCACATTGTTGGCGGGAAAAGCACTGGAATGTCGAGGAATTGAATGTCTGTGTATAGCTGCTCTACTGTTTCTAAGAAGTACTGGTAGAAAAGGTCACCTGACTATTACTTTTTTTTTTTTTTGTTGTTGATTTTATTTTTAAAACACTATCAATATTGTGACATCAGGTAGACATCAATAATCCTCATCAGTCATAACTCTGGTAACACAACGGTGTTCGCTCTTTTTGATCACAGTTCTGCTGTGATATCTAGTAATTTCATTGCACTACTGTTTCAATATCTCGTTTATGGTACTGATCGACGACTAATTGCCCTTTCTACATATTTAATCTTGTTTTGACTAGTGAGTGCCGTTCTTCCTCGCTTCACAGTTCTCTTGTTCTTGCTATCACTCTGTATTCATGTTGTGTTGCTTTCTGTCATTTGTCTTTTACTTCACATTGCTTATAATGTACGCGGTTTTATTTGAATGCCAAGCTTCTACTGCAACTCCTCGTTAGCTTCGCTTCATTCCATACTTTCTTTTAAGTTGACCACAAATTTCCTTTTTTAGAATGGAAACGCTTTGAAAAGTTTTTCGTTGCAAAGAGTTGCCAACATTTCTTAGCCACTTTTAGCACTTCCTGCGTCTTATCAGGAACGCACAAAAAAATTACATGAATAAATGAACTGAGGCACAGACTTCTCAAGAACAGTCAAATTTTCAAGTAAATTTGGATTGTTTACCACTCATTACCGCATTAGACCGACATAACCACGGCTCACTGTCTCTAGGCGGGCGGAACTACATGACGCAGATTTGCGTGTGCGCTGCCTAGCTCCGCCTACCTGCAGATGCGGAACGTCTGCACCCTTAATCAGCAAAAGTATAGTTATCATTGTTAAGTTATTTATTTATTTATTTTCTTTTTTATTTTTTGTTTATTTTCAAAATCCCTTCGTTTTTTCTTTGCTTTTTTGGGTTCATGTCCATTTGTATATTCTTATTGATGTGTATGTTCGTGTGCGTGAGTTTGTTATTTTGTGTTTGTTACTTAATAATGCTCTGGTTAACGACATTTAAACCAAATGCAAATATCATTGATATGGATGGATTTCATTAGATGGTCATTGTCTTTTTTTTTCAGCGTAGTTTAGTTACTGGCAGGTTTTACGTTATTGTTTTACTACTATTATCGTAAACTATTATCATAAGAAATGACGGACAGGAAAGCAGTGATCAAAAATGCAGACATGTCTGAAGATATGCAGCAGGATGCCATTGATTGTGCGACGCAGGCACTTGAAAAGTTGGTTCATTTTCTAATACTTTTATTTGAACCGCTCAATTAAAAACCGTTTTGAAAAAAAAACCTTGTTTTCGTAACAGTTTTTTGTTTCCTAATTTTACTTTAAATGATTTTTTGTTTGAGGCTTGATTTAAATAGGGACCCTGCAGTTGTTCAGAAGAAGTTATGGAAGCTTCCATTTCAGGCAGTTTAGATCGTCGTTTCTTCCTTCTTATTTTCATCGCTTTTTGCTCCTTGTTCTGGTATTGACCGTTTAGTTAACTTTTTATACCCTCCCTAAAATAGGCTTAGGAAGATCAGTCTTCATTTGATAAACACGTTTGCCATACTCATGTTGTTAAGAAAATGGAATCTTTTCATCGTAATTGATGAAACCACATATTTGCTAAGGCCAATTTTCTTCATAGCTATGTTTGTCCTTCACACTGTTTTTACACATTAAGTAGAAGGGTTTTGAATTAGATATGAACATGGCATTTTTCATTTCGTTTGCATAAATTCCAAACATTTGTTGATAAGAAACTATTGGGAAAGTCGTTTGAACATTTAATTTACATGAGCTCGTTTTATTGCTTTGCAACGACGCTGTCCGCCTTGTTTAATTCCTTGGTCATTCCCTTCTTTCTTTTTCTTCTCTGTCTTCTCCCTCTCCCTCTGCTTCCGTTTTGTTCCTCTCTAGTTCATTTCAAGGTCCCTACTGCTTGGTTATAGAATTTGAAAATCTATTGGTTCTTTTTTTTTAAGTTGGCGTTGAAATATCTTTTGGGGATGGGAAAATGGAAATATCACCTGAGCGTATACGTGGTTGTAACTTGCATCCTTTGGAGTCAATACCTGGCGTCGATTGTTCTTTGTGACACATTTCTTTTTCTAA